TTCCAGTTCTACTTGGTGTAACTGTCTTGTGCTGCTGCAAGCAGACTAATTGACTCTACTGAGGGGAAGAGTTGGTTAGCCAAAGTGCAGTGCTGCACAGATACAGCTGTACTGCTTCCAGTTCAAGAGGTTGCTGTAGAAATGTTCTGGGGGACAGGAAGGCAGCAGCTGACTCAGCTGCTGTTTTTCTTAGTTTGGGGTAGTAGTTTCATTATAGGGGCTTGTTGGGGATGAGGGAGGCAGCCCCAAATTCATGGCTGTCCCAGAAAATTTGGGACAGTTAATTACTTTGATTAGACCCAATATGAATAAAGTGATCAGCTGGGATCCTGGTTTTCCCTGATTAAAAAAAATAAAAATTGCAAATTCTCTAATTAAAAATAAAAATTACAAAATATTGCAAATTCTCAATTAAACCCTCCCAAGTCCATGGTTAAAATGAAAGGCGCCTCACAAAGCCCTCCCTGGCCCTGCTCATGGCCCTCACTCTCCCCCATAACCCTCCAGCCCTACTCTTGCCCCTCACTGACTCCCAACTTCTCCTGGACTTGCTGGTGCCCCTTGCCCCCCACCCATGGGTCCTGCTCCCCCAGCCCTGCCAGAGGGGGCCCCCAGCTGCCAGGGCGATTGGGGCCAGGGACCCAGATCCACAGCCCCCTGCCCCTAGCAGGAAGTGGCGGCTGCTTCAATCATTGCAGAACTGCAAAATCCCCTGGCTTCTCCAGTAAAATGAGAAATCCACGTTTGCCTCTGGTAAAAGGTAAAATCCGTGGTTTACTCCATTTTTCCGTGGGAATGGAAAATCCAGATCCCTGGTGATCAGAGTCTAACACACAAATAGAAAATTACGTTGATCATAGTTGCTTTTCCTATGTACTGTGTGTGTGACTTGTGCTTAAATCAACAAAATCTGAATGACCACCTCTGATTCAATTGACTCATTTTCTCTGATTTGACCCAAGGAAATCACCATCTAATTAAACTCCAAATTTAAGTCTCTTATTCTTTCTTTAATTTAATTTTGTTCAAAAGCTGTAAATGCATCATAAAAATGGCATAATCGAGTTCCTTGAATATGGAAGAAGTTTTCACATTTTCCTAGAATTACTGTGTAGTGTCTGGAAATAATTGTTTATAAGCCACAGCTACCACTCAGGAATGGAAGTTTTAATTCCAAAGGAATTTAATAGCTTGAAGGCTGTGTTCACCTCCCTCCTGTCTCCCTCCCCCCAACCTCTGTATCTTTTAACGAGAGGTGACATAGTCGATCGAGTTGATGATTTGTTTTACTCTGATGCTCTAGTTACTGCTGGATGAGAGTCTGAAAGAAATCCCAGTACCTGCAGAAATAACTGGGGGAGAAGGTTGTACGGAATAATCTGTAATGACAGAACAGGGAATGACAACATATTAGCAATTGGCCTTGAGGCTGTAAACTGCCCCTGCTACCTGTTGCATATATTATGCAAGTAATTGGTAAATCATGCAATAAATTTAGACTGGCCACACGTGCAAAGTAGGACTGGCCACAAAGTAATTATCATACAATAAACTGTTTAATCATGCAATAAATTTAGACCAGGTGCACTTACCAAATAATTATCACATGATAAAAATGACTATCCAGCTATAAAAAGACCCAATCAGCTATAAAGTTAGTGCTGGAAAATGTATAACAAGTCTACTGCTGGTTTCTATCCAGCTTTATTTTGAATGTGTAGTCGGACCCTTTGAGATGATTTATATTGTATCTTGCAGAATAGAACTCTGGTCCTGATGGGAGCACTGAGATAATACTACAACATAAATTGTACAAATGGTGATATAAATATGGGAAAGTTTGTGTGTTTGACCTTTTGGAAGAAGGATGTGCTTTAAAAATCAGTGGGGAAGCTAGTTTTTTTAGTCATTTCAGAAAAACACTGAATGGACTCTAGAAGCAAATGTGTTCTTTCGGGACATGCAGCTTTATCTGTGGTTAGAACTATGGTATTTTCAAAACCCTACACAACCCTGGAGGAGATGAGTAAGCTCATCTAACAAATGCAACTTGACTGAGTTCCCAGAAGGTATCTTGGACAGGTTCTCCTTTCTTACACTAGTATTTTAGCTTATTTCCACACCCCCACACACACACTCACACACAGCAATCGGTGTCTCTTTCAGGACAATGGTTTTCTGTTAGTGGTGTTTGCATTATTGTTATTTACAGGCATACATACCTCAGACTGATAAAAGAAGCAGCCAGTCAGAGGCAATGGTGCTCAACATTTTTGTCTAGCAGACCTGATAGGCAGTGCCTGATCTCACATGGATGGTGATTTACATGTAGCTCCTGGGACCAGCATAGTGGCCACCATGTCACCTCACAGAGGGGGTGGAGGGCAGTTCAGCCTGAGCCTGGCACAGCAAGAAAGGATGGGGGTCTCAATTAGCCCTGGGACCAGGATGGGGAGGGACTTGACCCAGCTGAGGGGTAAGGGGCGCATGACCTGGCCCCATGGTGTGTAGGGAGCATGGCTCAGCCATAATCTCGCCCTGTGGGTGGAGGAAGGGGGCATAGCCCAGCCCAGCCCTGTGAGGTAAAAGGGGGCATGGCATAGCTTTGCAGGAGGGAAGGGGTGCAGCCTGGCTCAGCCTGGGCACATGGGGCTGGGGTTTGGGAATTTGGCAGAGGGATGGGTGACTGTATTAATGGCCACCACCCCCCTGCTGCCAAATTTCCCAATCTGTGGAAAGCCTGATCTGAGGCAGATCTGATGGCTCCATGGGCCACATCTGGCCTATGCACCAGAGGGTGAGCACCCCAGTTCAAAGAGATTTATATTCTTAAAATAAGTTTCTCCGCAGAGTCTAGTAATAGATGAGCCTCTTTCTGGGGGGAAACGTCTTGCACTAGTTGCTTTCTTGGGCCTACATTTTCACGTGCTTATAACTTACTGCTCTCCCGGGGGCACATGTAGATGCTGAGCCCAGGAGTAGTTTATACCAGCTCAAACTGCTCTGGAGTTTATTGCGTCACATTAATTGCATGTGTAGATGCACCCAGTAAGAACCAAGTTAGATCAGTGCTGAGCACTCCTCACTAGATGTCCGTGAATAGAAGCACATCCACTATTTTCTCTGGGTGGACAGATTAGAACAGGCACAAAGTATGTTTTACAAGCATTTCTAAAGTACTTATCGCAAGGTGGCAAGTTCCTGTTACCTTAAGTCCCAAGCAGAACTGGTCTTAGAACTTTTGTGAGGATATGAAAAAACAGCCTCGAGACATTGACTGATTTGTTGCAAAGAAGCCATTGAACCATTTATTTTCATTGAGAGAAGAAGAAAGATCTTTATCTTAGTAATGGGAATAGATTCGAGGAAGAGAAAATGAAATATTAAACAGTTAACAAAGTAGCAAACACAGATAAATTACTCCACTCCAGAGAATTTGCAAACTGTAAGCAAGGTACAGGTTGCCTAGAAGATGCCTGAAGATATATAGGGTTATAGAGTGGGGAATGGAAAAAGCCTGGTAGCTCATGTAGTCTTCCCCTTCCCAGTCGGGATTCTTCTCTTCAGTACTGTTTCTCTAGTGCTTTATCTGTTCTACTTCTAAGTGTGTGATGAGGTTACTGTCATTTCACTGGGGTGAAAATTTGACAGCCTAAGAGAGGCCATCCTTATTTAGCAAAGGTTCAAAGGAAGATTTGGGGAATGTACTTACATTTCAGTGTCCCAGGATTGGGAATAAGTGGAAGACAACTCTGTAGTACATTTACTCACCCACAAATTGATGGCAGAGATTTGGAATGGGCTATAACAGACCAGTCCTTCTCAGTTATACAAGTTATTGAAAGAAGTGAAAGAAAGTTAAAGTTTGCAACATCCCTGTAGATCTCAAAATGCTTTGGAAATAATATTACCATAAAAGAATGCACCACAGAAATGGTAAGTGTAATATGCAGTGAGAGCTCTTGGACTATATTTAAATAGCTCTTGTAAAGTTGTATTAGCAGAGGATGGAACCAGGCACTGATATACTTGTTTTTCCTGCATAATCTGCAGAAGTGGACTTTTTTTTTTAAAGGGGCATAAAATCTAATTTGCATTCATGTACTGATAATGTTTTATGAATGCCTAAACATTAGCCACAGTTCACTTTTCAGGTCACACATGGAAATAGCACTCAAACTAGAACCTTGCCACTGAGATTAAGGGATCTTTGACAAATCATTGTAGGTCCAATGCATAAGTTTGTTTAAAAAAAAACTTTTAGAAAGCCAGTCATGGGGAAGAATGTTCCCATGCTTTTATCTCTTTCTTTCAATAAATGTGTGTGTGCATGCATGCGTGCGTGTGTGCGCGCGCACACATACATATAAAGGAAATGTATTACTGGTAATATGCAGTGTTGGTTTTTTAAGATATGGGAGACAGTTAACAAAAAAGAGAGAAAATAATTCAGCTAGTCTGTTTTCCAAGGTGAATGCAATGGCAAAAGCAAATAAACAGCATGAATTGTGACAAGGCAATTAGATTTGTATGGCTCATTTGATGCTAATGATTTAAGATTGTGTTGGGACAAGAGGGAACTGTTTTTAAAAATACATGAATTTCAACTTGGCAGAGCCCCTTGCAATAGCTTTTCAGTATTTCAAAGCTATTAACAAAATATGTAAAGACATAACAAATCTACTTTGTAAAATATGCTCCTAGCCCACTTAGTGTAGAAAAAGCCTTGTAAACTGAAGAAACGCATTTAAAAAGGCCATAACAACCATGCTGAGAAACAGACAAAGCCTGGGAGCTCTGCATTGCAGGGTTTGGAGTGGGGGGGGAAGGAAAGAGTTGGGGCAGGTAGGGCAATGATTTAGCATCATTTCTAGGAGCCCAAAGCACATAGACCATGACCCCACTGGTGTGTTTTTAACACCTCTCTTATTGGAACAGCATACTAGCATCTTCTAGGCTATTTTGTAACATAACTAATATCATGGTCCTACATGGTTCATTCTTTATTTCATCCTCCCAGAATCTTTGGAATTATATGTTATTTCCCACCATCAGGGCATCTATGAGCTTTGAACTCAGCATGAGGGAGGGAAAAATAAGGGACCCATACCCTTTGTCTACTCGGCTACTTGATTCTTTGGTTTATAGACCTTTTAGAATCCTCTGATCTATGCTTTGATAACGTTCCTTTGGGCAAGGCACCCTTCAAAGGCTATTACTGTTCTTTGTATATTTGGGAAGAAGTTTCTACGGAGCAGTGTAGGGCACTTCCTGATCCTAGAGCCCCCTAGACCAGGCATTGCCTGTGCAGATCTGCATTCCTGAAATAAATCAGACCTGTCAGAAACAAACCTGCGCGTGCCTCATGGCTGTGCAGAGCTATAAATACACAAACATGAAATTGTCCAATGCTACTATGTTTCCTGTTTGAAATGTTCCATGTTTGATGTCAGGTGATGGACTGAATCCCTCTTTATCTGCACAGCCATAAAATAAGCTTCACTGTGCTGTCCTACCACCTTACTGTAGCATTGGCCACTTCTAGGTAAGAAGAAAGAGTTCTGTCTCATTCAGTTTTTGGCCTCTGCTGAGACTGCCAATTAGTGCTGCTGATTCTGACAGGGATTATTCTGTGATACTGATCCCTTAGGGTAGGGGTTGGCAACATTTTTGGCCAGTGCCAAAAACACCCACACCTCCACCCATGCCTCATCTTGGCATGCCAAAGGCAGACTACAGGGGACCCACAAGGGGGCCAATATCAGTTGCTGGTGGTTGGTGCATGTGTGCCTCTGGGCAGATGGCAAGGGAGGGGCTGGGGTTGCCATTGCCCCAGGCCCCTTCCTGGCCATGCGACCTGAGGTGCTTGTGCAGCCACCACCACTATGAAGCTCAGCCAGGGCTCTGGTGCAGCTGTTAGCAGCCCTCTAGGCGCTGCTGCCATAGCCAGCCCAGGCTCTGGGAAGTCCAGCAGGGAGTGGGACAGTTTGCAAACAGCTGCACTGGGGTCTGGAGCCCCAGCACTGGCTCTGTGGTGGCAGTGACTGCACATGCACCTCGGAGCACATGGTGGGCAAGGGACCGGAGTTGTGCTGCCCCCTTCCCCGCTGTGTATCCTGAGGTTGTAGCCACTGCTGACACAGAGCCTGGACAGACCTCCGTGCAGCTGTTTGCAGTCTTCCGGCTGCCTTCTACATCCAGCCCAAGCTCTGGGCAACTGCTGCCTGTCATGCAGCCTGGGCTGCTTGCAGCCTCCCAGCCACCTGCTGCTACCAGCCTGGGCTCTGTGGCCAGGGGCAGCTACCCAGAGTCTGGGCCAGCTGTGGCATGCTGGGGAAAATGGCCTCACATGCCATGCTCTGGCATGCGTGTTGGGGGTTGCTGACCCCTGCCTTAGGGTTTCTGATTTGCAAAACAAGCATATGCTTAACTTTATCTCATGTAAGTCATAGCTTTATTTCCACACTTGAGGTAAAGGACTTTGGCTTGAGACCAGAAACCCCATGCAGTCAAAGTTGAAGACACTGCTCCTCTCACAATTTGGCCCTGGTTTCTGGATTGATGCCACCAACCTCACTTCACATAGTTAACAAACTAGCTATCAGTCCACTGATGAGCTGGAATATTCAGACTGATCACTGTGAAGTGTGAATGATGTTTTGTCTGCTGTGGTTGGGTATATGCTATTCTAAAACAGCAGGATGAGCCTGACTCCCACGTATTTAATATTCCAGCTGTCTTATCTACGTGCATCAATGAGGAGACCAGGTATGGCTGCGTTCAAACAGCAGAAGGTAGAAGACCGATATGAAATTGGGGAAGAGCTGGGAAGGTAAGTGGATACTGTTGGCACCAACACACATCAGAGTCAGACAGATAGAGAGATTTTCCAGTCAGTTGTATAGCTGTTTAATTATTTCACTGGTTTTCTGATTGGTAAGTGACTTGTTTGCAATATATTACTGCAGAAATGCCTTCTTCAGCACATTTTTCAGTTGTTTTAAAAATGTCTCCCAGTATTGTTCTTACAGTAAAACAAAAGGGATGCAGAAGTTCAATTTTCAGCTGTGCATTAACACCTTTGTATCAGTTTTAATCTTCAAAAGGATTTACAGATCTTAACAATCATTGAAGTCAATGGGCTATCACCACACTTATAATTAAGCACACATTTAAGTACCCCTAGATCTGAACATTTTGGTTCAGTCCTATCTTTCATCTTTAAGCTAATTGGTTTCTAGGCATCTTAAAATCTTAAATATTGAATGGAACAAGCCATCTGGGTAGACCACAAGTTTCTAAAACTTGGGTGCAGGGATTATAGTCCAACCTAGGGCCTTGTACACTTCTGTCTGACAGAGACCAAGTGGCCATACCAGCCATTCTCTGTTTCCAAGGCAAGAGGATCAAGATTGCATGAAATATTAATTCCTTTACTGCAAGGTAGCTAATACCATTAATTTAGATAAGTCCTGCTATCCTGTGATAGAGCAGGTGCATCTCATTTGAACCTATAGCCAGAGGGTGGGGTGCTACAAGAGCCTAATAAATAGAGTAAGAGAAATTAGAAACGGCATTTGCAGTTTCTGAAGGAATTTCCTGGAGGAGGCAACTAGCAATGATCTGACAGGAATTTGCAGGAATTACCTAAAGGTTGAGAGAGCAGCAGAATGGGGCTTGCTTGTATACTTTTTGTGCGGGCCAGGAGTGATCCGGGCCCTTTTTGTGCTCTGCGCGGGCTGTGGCCAGCAGCCCGGGCACGCTGGATCGGAGAAAACAGGCGACACGCTAGAATTAGTCACGGACTCGTAATGGTTGATTTAAAGATTGTTTACTTACACCGAAGATGGTCGCGGTGTAGGCTGGACAGTTTCCCAGGTACAGCTCCGCTTAAATCCTCGTTTGAGGACTCAGACAATATTCAGATCACTCCCACGGAGTTGTCGAGGCTCCGTGGATCCTTTTGCACGCAGGGAGAGGGGTATGTCGAAGGATTGCGAACGGCGACGGGGAGAGGCTAGAGGCTGGTTAGACCTCTGTTGCCTGCTTGAAATGCACTGGGTCCGATAGGCTCCGCAGCGCTTAGAGATCTTCACACAGCGTGAAGTCTCCTCCTCCTGATGTTCGTGGAGTCCTCCCTTGCGGGCGTTCTCCTCGGAGTTCTCCAACTTGGGCGGAAACCACCCAAGCCTTTTATACGGCTAGCAAGCCAATCGCTAGCCACCACGTGTGAATAATTTCACGCAAGCCAATAATGGGGTTCGAATTATCATACAAATGGCGGGAACTCTTTGCAACGAGCATTTCTTAGCTGCAAAGAAGAAATGCACACTGCAAAGAAAGCTACGATTTGGCGGGAAAATAATTCAGTGGTGCCAAAGCACACACAAAAACAAAAATCACACCTTTGGTTTGTGACACTTTTCAGAACTGGGGAGTCAGGGTTAGAGAAAGCTGATGTTACAGAGGCTCTTCTGATGGAGTCTGAGAGGTTGACAGTGAAAAAAGTGAGGTGGTACCCCTGTAAATAGCTCAGTCATAACTTAGTTCTGTGCTGGGCAGGGTCATGCACTTCTACAACCCTGCACTAGGAATAGCAGAAAAAAGTTATGAACAATTTGGAGGCTACCTGGCTTAATGGTCCACTGTGGTGGTCACTGCCCTTAATAGGCAAATATTTAAAGGAAAAATCATAGAGTGGAAAATCATAAACTGAAATTTATGTGGGTTGAAATCCAGTACCTTTGTTCATATAAGGCAGTCCTTTGCTTAAGTGGCACCGTGATTATCAGCTAACTACATGCAATAACTTAGAGTTTGGATACCAAAATATGGCTTTTTTCGGGGAAGCTGCATCAGATCGGCTAGAAGAAAGAATTGATGTATGTGGTCAGGTTCTTTCACTCTATAATAAAAAAATGTCATGTTCTGGACTTGGGAAATGCCTGCTACAAAAATATGTGAGTACACCTTTTATGTCTCAGTTCCAAGCATTGTCAATGATCTCTCTATCAGTCAGCAAGGGAAGATGTTTTCTGTCAGATGTGAGATTTGCATCTGATGCTTAGTGAAGATTGCTGCAGGCAAAAAAAATAATGCCCTCCAGAACACTTTAAGGGTAGGC